TCTTTCTCTTCAGAGCTTTGGGGAAAATTCTATATTGTAAAAGTAAGAGAATCTTTACATATTTTTCTATATTTGTCGGATATTAGTCTTATAATAGAAATAAAATTTTACACTTTTAAAATGCCATATACAGAGTCCACCAAAAGCATGTGTGTGTATACACTTCAGCAGTTCGCCATACTAATAAATGTCTGGAAGCTACTGGCCACCATTTTGAGCTCCTCTTGTAATTGTAGAGACCAAAGGTAACTTGTATTAATCTCATGTCTCAGAAAGTTTAGTATTAAAATATTTATACAAGTTTTTCTTTTCCTGATGTATACATTTTTCTGGTGGTCTCTGTATTGTTACGAAAAGGGCTAGGTCTAGGTTATGTACTATTAGGCAGGGCCTAAGACAGCAGGAAAATGTATTTGGCTATTTAGAGAATTTTGTGACTATGAGCAAGATTAAATGTAACAACAAACTACTGTAGGCCATATCCTTTCCTGTAAATTATTAAAATTATAGTGCACTGGGCCGGGAATTTAGCTCAGTGGTTCTGCTGCCTGCCTTGCAAGTGCAAGGTCCCAAGCTTGATCCCAGTACAAAAAAAAAAAATTATAGTGCACTGAAGGTAAGACATCCATCTATCTAGACCTTCAGCAGCAAGAGGTGATAGCCTGAACCTCTATTAACACTGGGCTCTAGCCCTGAGTCCCTATGTAAATTGCCAGGTCCTTATGGGGTTTTTTGCTTCTCTTTAGTTTTTCTATACTCTTTGCCAGTTGCTGCCCCACAACCAGAGATGTTCATTGCCCTCTCTGTCTTCTCCGATGCCAGCTCTTCCTTGGATCCTTTCATCCTGGTGCCCATTCTTAACCTCCCAAATTATCCCTTCTGTCAATAAAATCCCAAACCTCTTGTTCTTTACATAGCGTGTCCCAGTTGATAGTCTTATGATCCTGAATGAAGAATTGGGAATTCCTGAATGGAAAACTTAATGTCATAAAGAAAAATGAAACAGCCATCTTTTAGTGGCAATGGTGACCTCCCCTGTTCCTAGATCTTCCACCCAGCCTCGGGGGCCTTTCTCACCTGATTCTCTTCCTCACCCTCTTTCTCCTCCTCAGTGTGCAGTTATAAGCCCTTCCATTAGGGAGTGGGGGCTCCTGCTCTCCCAGGTGAGGGACAGCATCTTCCTTTGTAGGAAATCAGACAGTAAAGATTTCTGTGTTAAGATGAATCAGAGAAAGAAAGCAGTGCAATCTAGGAGGATGAATGGGATGTGCTTTCAGAAATGGAATGTTGTAGGTCTAAAAAACCCATAATCCAAGCTTCAGAATTTTCACTTAGTTCTAATAGTGATAAAACAGGTAAACAAGCACCTAGTAATTTTGTTCTATTGTTTTTAATTCTTAACGGTTTAATATTTTGGCATTATGCATCTGAAGTGTTGAAAATGTTCAAATGAAAAGTGCTGTATAATTACAAAAATGACATTATCTTTAATAATTCTAGAAATTTTTTATAGGAGCACCTTTAACAGAATTAGACTCTCCTCGGTTGCCTTCCCATTTATCAGAGTATGAACGGGATACATTACTTGTTCAGCCTGAGGTAAGGTCTTTATGACTGTTTACCAGGCATACTCATATATATTGTGCACGTATACCTGACCACAGCATTTGGACCAAAATTATTTATATATTTATGCTTTTTTTTATAGGAAGTCGTAGAAATGTCACACATGCCAGGAGAGTTTATTTAATTTATATCTTCACCAAAACTACATAGATTTCTTCGTGGAAGTAGATGATCTTGTAAGAGCCAGTGAATTTCTCAGTTTTGCAGACATCCTCAGTGGTGACTGGAATGTAAGACCCTTTGACTTAAATATTTCCTCAGAATTAAGAAAAGAAAGTTTTCTCTCTAATTCTTGGACATTATTTTGTGACTCTGCTTAGTTACTCTGCTAAAACTTCCAAGTCAGCATTTGTAGTGAAGTTTCAGTAGGTTACTTGAGTTTCCTTGTGATATTATAGTACTTTTTCTAGTTATTTTTTAAGTTTTAAAATTAATATATACTTCAAAAAATTTAAAACTTAAAAATTAGGTAGAAGGGCAAGAACTGTGTATCTTGGTGTACTTTCTGCTGGTTTAAAAGATTTTTTTAAAAATTTGTGTAAACTGGAGGTATAGCTTAGCAGTGAAGTACATGCTTAGCATGCACAAGGCTCTGAGTCTACTCCCCAGCACCAATGTTTTTGAGACCCAGTCTCACTTTGTGTTGCTCAGGATTACTCCTGAGCTTCCACACAGTGAAGACTGCAGGCATGTGGCATCCCAGCTGCTGTCTGTCATTTTCCTCAGCACCTTAACACTACTGTGATCACTAACTACATGTGGCTATTTAAATTTAAATTAATTTAAAAATTCAATTCCTCAGTCATATTAGTCACATATTTGCCGGACCTGAGAGCTGTATTTAGCTAGTAACTGCTGTATTGAACAACCCAGCTATAAAAACATTTCCATCATTGTAGGAAGTTCTGTTAGACGGTTTTAATATGTTAATATATCTGTGTCACAAATAAAAGTATTGAAACATTAATATTTAAAATTAGGAAAGTTACAAAAAAGCTATCATAGAGTGTCATTGCTTAGTAGTTTCATTTACCTATTTTTTTTTTTTTTTTTTTTTTGGTACCGGGGATTGAACTCGGGTCCTTGCACTTGCGCAGCAGGCCATTTATCTATTTTTTTTTGGTACCAGGAATCAAACTCAGCCTTGTGCTTGCCAGGCAGGCACTGTGCTGCTGAGCTACATCCCCAGCCCTACCTAATTTTTTTTTCTGTAATTACTTGGGTTTTTTTGGTACCGGGGATTGAACTCGGGACCTTGTGCTTGCGAGGCAGGTGCTAGAACCACTGACCAAAGTCCTTGGCCCTGTAATTACTTTTTAAAAAACTTTTTGCCAGGTAAGGTGGACATACCATTAATCCCAGCTGCGTGGGAGACTAAAGCAGGAAAATTGCACTTTAAGGCCAACCTGGGCAACTTAGCAAGACCCTGTCTCAAAATATAAAATGAAAATGGGTGGGGTTAGTGCAAAGGCCATGAGTTCACTCTCCAGTACCAAAAAAGAAAATTGTGTTTTCTTTTGATTACTATGTAATATTTGTACATACTTATAAGCTGTGTTTTCATTCTACTTTGGGTATTGATCACCTCAGTGTAATTGGTATATTCATCAGTTTAAACTTTTGTCATCTCTTTTTTTGTGCGTGTCATCTCTTTTATCTTTGTATGATTGCTTTTTGTTTTTCTTTTTTTTTTTGTTACTGGAGATCGAACTCAGAACTTTGTGCTTGCAAGGCAGGTGATGGCACCACTGAACTAAATCCCTAGCCCTGTGATTGCTTTTTTATTTTGAAATTTTTAATCTATAGATAAGTTGAAAGAATAGTTCATTGAAAACTTATGTACACTTTTGTTCACTGGAGTATTACATTTTGCCATGTTTGCTTAATCTCTATGTATTTACACACTTGTTTTTAGCATGTGGCATGACTCTTAATACTTTAGTATGAATAAAGACATTTTTCCGTTAGAACCATCATTACATTATCACACCTGAGAAAGTTCACACTAATTTAGTAATATATTGTCCCTATTCAGATTTCCCCAGTTACCTCAAAAATGTATTTAAAGTTGTTTCTCCCAGCTCTATCTAAGACCCAGTCAGGGTACACCTGTTGCATTTGTTCTGTTGAATTTGCTTTAAACAGTTTTATAGCACTGTGATTTTTAGGGCTATGGTGACAATGGAAAAAGTGAAGATAGAATAAGTATGGTTAGTCTTTTTGTATATGTGAGTACCAGTAACACTGTTTATAAATCTTACTTTCTTCATTCCGCCTCTTCTCACTTGTTAGACACACTCTTCACTCAGGGCATATAGCACATCTGTTGCTACTCGAGGTGTGATCCATTCCAACAGAGCCCGGGGGTTTGCTCACTGCCAAGCAGGGGGATCAAGCTTTCGACCGTTGCACAAACCGCAGTGGTTTCTAATCCATAAGAAGGTAAAAAAGGAATTGTAGACTTTGCATAGGTGAACTCTATGAATTGTTTTGATAAAGCAAGGGGTATTTTAAATTAAAACAAGAAAAATGGTTTATTCTTATAAAATATTTGACAAAACCTGCAGGTTTTCTTAGAATTGTGATAAAACATAAAAAGGGTGATTTTCCTAAATGTTTAGTCACTGTTTTGTTTTGTTTTGTTTTTTGGGTACCAGGAATTGAACTCAGGACCTTGAGCTTATGAGGCAGGCATGGTGCTACACTGCTAAATCCCTGGCCTTTTAGTCACTTTTTAAAGGGAAAAAAACCACTCAGAATTTGAGTGTACGTGCCTATTTGATTTATTATTTGAATTGTATTAGAATCAAAGTGTAGTTATTTTAAAATTTAGTTATAATTAAAAATAAATTCCAGCCGGCTCCTGTAATCTCAGCACTTGGGTGGCTGAGGCAGGAGGATTACCTCAAGTTCAAGGCCACCCTGGGCTACATAGTGAATTCAAGACCAGCCTGCCCTACACAGTAAGACCCTGTCTCAAAAAAAAAATGCTCTAGGATATAAATTTCAATTAGGAAGAATAAATTTGATACATGTATTACATGATGACCATACTAAATACAACATGCAGTCACACAGCCCTTAACCAAAGACACATGACAGAAGACATGTTCTGAGAACTGCACTGGTAGGTGGTTTGTGGTTGTGTAAACATCATAGAATGTTTTTTTTCTGGAGACAGGGTCTCTCTGGAAGTGACTTTTTTTTTTTTGGTAGTGGGGATCAAACCTGGGTCCTTGTGCTTGCAGAGCAGGCAGCAGAACCACTGAGCTAAATCCTCAGCCAACAGGGTCTCTCACTATGTGGCCCAGGCTGGCCTCAAACTCTTGATCCTCCTGCCTCAGCCTCCTGAGTACTGGGATTACAGGCATATGCCACCACACCCAGCTTATAGAATATTCTTACACTAGTTTAGGTTGTGCGGATCAATCACCTAATGTGGTTTCTTAATCAGATCAAGAGAGATGTTAGACATGAGATCTATGAGGCTGCTGTTGGTGTAACAAGTTATTGATTAATAGTAGGAAAATTACGAAGGACTGATTAGACAAACTCTTATGAGTGTATTTGTGCTATATATAATCCTTCATGTTTTGTGATTTAATAAACTTAGTTTGGAATACATAATCATATTTTTGTTTTATTTGTCTTTCATCTTTTCTTTTCCATGCAGTATCGGAAAAATTGCCTGGCAGCAAAAGCACTTTTTTCTGATTTCTGCCTACCAGCTTTGTGCCTCCAGACTCAACTGTTGCCATATCTCGCACTCCTGACCGTTCCAATGAGAAATCAAGGTAATCATGGCTTTTCTCAAGAACTGCTTCATGCCAGTCTGTCTTTATGAGTCAACCCATGACTGAATGCTAGTAAGATGTTTTCCCTTCTCTATTTTTTAACCCAAAATTAGTATATACTTTTTATTAATAAGTGATATAGAAGCATATAAGGTAAAATTAAAACTACCTCCCCTTCAAGGTAAACTGTTCCCAACTTTCTTCTGTGTGTATACAATCAGGTAGATGAAATAAGCTTCCGTCTGCTTCTGTCACTCCACATGGGTAGCCTTCCATGTTGTGTAAATCGGTGTCAAAGCAGAGATACTAAAATGTGTTCAAATCTAATATTTGTTTAAAATTTATGATTTAAACTTGTTGATGAATATTTTGGCTGATTTATATGGCAGTTGGTGCCATTGGTAGTGTATATGTACATTAAACTTCCAAATGGTAGATTATAAAAAACGCTGTAAGCAAGGTCAGTGTGCCTGTAGATGGGTTCACTTGGGCAAGTGGTATTTCTTCTGACATTTGCCTCTTCATGAAGTTTACCAGTTTTCCTATCATTTGTTTCTGTCTTGTTTTGTTTTTGTTTGCAGTGCTGGGAACTATACCTGGGAAATTCTGAGCTATATCCCTAGCCCTTTTTATTTTATTTTGAGACAGAGTGATGGTCAGTTGCCCAGGCTGACCTTGAATTTGATGTTCTTCTGCCTTAGCCTCCCAAATAGCTGAGATTACAGAGGTGTGCACTACTCCTAGCTCTGAAGTTGTAAAGATAGAGTTGACCTTACAAATTGTCAGAAGAGAGGTTTAGAGAGTAATTGTCACCTCTGATGCCATGAACAGTTTCATTTTAGAGCTTTGGAGAGTGTTTTTACTTTGTGTTTTTATTGTCATTGTTTTGTACTAGAGATTAAAGCGGAGCATTTGCACTGAGCCATATCCCTGTCTTTTTTTATTTTGAGACAGGGCCTCACTAAGTCACTAGATTGCCCAGGCTGTGCAGTCCTGCCTCAGCTTTGCCATGTGCTGGGATTAGAAGTGTGCATACCATACCTGACTTGGTACTTAACCTTTTTTTTTGAGACAGGGTCTCACTGTGTAGCCCAGGCTGGCTTGAACTCACAGCAGTCCTGCCTCAGCCTCCTGAGTGCTGGGGTTACCGGTGTGCACCACCACACCTGGTTTCTTTTCAATTCTGCTGTTTGAATTCTGCCTTAGGTTGTCTTTTTAATTGTATTAGTCTTTTCAGTGAGCCATATTTGGTTTTGACACTTTTTTGTTTGTTTTGTTTTGTTTTAGTACCGGAGATCGAACTCAGAACCTTGCACTTGTGAGAGAGGCACGGTGCCACTGAGCTAAATCCCCGGCCATTGGTTTTGACACTTTTTAAAACTTAACACTATTATGCTATGAACTTCCTTAATTACTACTTAAGCAACCTTCCAAGTATTGGTATGTTTGTATTTCCTGAGACTTACTTAGGAGTCTGCTTAACTTCTAGGAGTATTGATTTTCTTTTTTCTTTTCTTTTTTTTTTTTGAGACACGTTCTCACTATGTAGTTCAGACTGACCTTGAACTCACTATGAAGCCTAAGCTGGACTTGAACTCATGGCGATCCACCTCCCTCAGCCTCTGGAGTGCTGGGATTATAGGCATGCGCCACCGCATCCAGTCCCCCGTGTATTTATTCATTTGGTTGTTTGCATATGTTTGTATGGTTGCTGGATTCTTAGGTGTTCCATTGTAATTCCTTGTTATCTTTATTTATTTTGATGTCAGGTTATCCTGATTGGATTAGCAGGTGTCACTTTAAGCTTAACTCTGTCCCATTTGATGTGTCCCCATATTCTTGGAATACTTTCTTACATTCCAAAACAAAATGTTCCTGATTCATTTTATACTCTTCCTGTGCCAGTTCTGAGGTCTGGAATTTCTGGGAGCCCTGCATCCTCTCAGTGGGAATGGCATCTCGGGAGTAGGATCTGGGCACTAGATGTGGTCATTGCTATCAGAGTATCATTGTTTCTAGGCTTTTTCAGTGAAAGAAAGGTAGGAACTACAGTATGGCTAGATATAAAACATGAGTTCATTACTGGGTGTGGTGGGTGCCAAAGACCTGTGATCCCAGCATTTAAGATGCTGAGGCAGGAGGACTACCACAAATTGGAGGCCAGCCTGGGCTGCATGGTGTGACTGTCTCAAAAATAGAAATGAAACAGCAAAAACCTAAGCTCATACCAGTACATTCAATTTCAAATACCACAGAGTTTATTCTAACCTTTTTTCTTTTCATATTTGTGTCTCTTTTTTTTTCTGTGCCAGAGATAGAACCCAGGGCCTTGTGCTAGTAGTCTTTACCACTGAGCTACTCGACTGACCCTGTCCTTCCCCTTTTGAACAATAAAAGCCCTCTCTTTCATTTTCCTGAATGTATTTACTTATTTGCTCAGTATAACCCACTGTCTTTAGGCCCAGCCCTAATCCCGCAGTGCACTGGGCACAGCTATCCCTCTCACTGAGTCCCACTGTAGGACCCCGTGTCAGTTTCCTGAGCAAGAGGGGGCAGTACCACTTGGAGCTTGGGAGAAAGGCAGGCTCTCAGCCCCGTCTACCAAATAAGAAGTCTGCATTATAATAAAATTCTCCTGGTGATTGGTGTGCACTTGAGAAATACTGGATTAAATTATTTACATTGAAATCATCTAGAGAATCATTTTATCCATTCATTAAATATTGTGAGGGTTGGGGGTTTAGCTTAGTGGTACAGCACTTGCCTAGCATGTGCAAGGCCTTAGGTTGTCTCCACCACTGGGGAAAAAAATTAGATTCTAAGATCACATCTCTAAGTTTACATATCAAAGAGCTTTTTAAAAAAAATCCCAACTGTATTGTATAGTAGATGTAAGAGCCTTTATACTATTATATTTGTAAACTTGTTTTTTTGGTACTGGGGATAGAACTTGGGACCTGGCACTTCCAAAGCAGGCGCAGAACCACTGAGCTAAATCTCTGGCCCTATATTTGTAAATTTTAAAGTGGCTTATTTAGCTGGGGTGTTGCCCACTGGTAGAATGAATACTTAGCATGCACAAGGCTCTGGATTCTATCCCCAGCACTGGAAAAAAAAAAGCTTGAGGGTAAAAGGTTTAAAAGCTTTTGTCCAGCTGGGCTTGGTGGTACATGCCTATAATTCCAGTGCTCAGGAGGTTGAGTCAGGAGGACTGCTGCAAGTTCGAGGCCAGCTTGAATTGCGTAGCAAGACCTTACCTCAAATAGAATGCAGCCAGGCATGTTGGCACATGTCTGTAATCTGCGAATTCAAGCCTAACCTAGTCATTTTAGCAATTTAGCAATACCCTATCTCAAAAAAAAGGGTTGAAGTATAGCTCATTGTAAAGGCCCTGTGTTCCATCCCCAGTACTGCAAAACAAAAAAGCAAAGACAAGAAAACAGTTAATAATGTATATTTGAAAATTGCTAAAAGTAGATAAATAAGTATTTGAGGTAATACATGTGTCAAATAGCTTGATTTAGCCATTCCACAATGGATGAATATATGAACATATTCTGTTATATACCATAAAGACATATAATTTTAACTTATCAGTTAAGGGCCAGGGATTTAGCTCAGTGGTGCTGCACCTGCCTGGCAACCACAAGGTTCTGAGTTCCATTCTTGTTACCAAAAAAATAAATAAAGATAAAGAAACTAGGCATAGCAGTGTACACCTGTAATCCCGGCACTCAGGAGACTGAGGAGGATTGCCAAGTTCAAGGCCAGCCTGGGCTACATAGTGAGTTCAGGGCTGGCCTGTACTGTATAGCACGACGCTGTCTCTAAAGAATAATAGCCGGGCATGGTGACACATGCCTATAATCCAAGTACTCTGGGAGACTGAGGCAGGAGGATCACAAGTTTGAACCCAGCCTGGGCAACTTAGCAAGACCCTATGACAAAAGAAAAAATAAAAGGGGTGGGATGTAGCTCAGTGCAAAGGCCCTGGGCTCTAATCCCCAGTACCAATAATAAATGAATGAATGCAGCAGGTAGCACCTGAGGGCAGCCTGCACAATTTTTTGAGACCCCGTCTTAGAATTAAAACTAAAAAGGGCTGGGAATTTAGCTCTGTTGTAGAGTTCAAGTAGGGTTCAAGCCTCAGTACCATCACCATCACCAAAAATAAAAGGAATGATGGTGTTAAAACCTTTTCAAAAATATCTATTTTCAGCTCAGATTTCTTTTATCCAAGATATTGGAAGACTTCCTCTGAAACGACACTTTGGAAGGTAAGTGATGGTCTTAATTTGCAGAGTGCTGTTCCTGAAATATTCCCTGAATCCACTCAACACCCAGTCAAGAAATGTTTTCTGTAAAATGCAGAAGCACATGTATGTACTGGGACTGGGGATTTAGCTCAGTGGTTCCGCCACCTGCCTCAGAAGTGCAAGGTTCCAAGTTTGATCACTGGTACCAAAAAACAAAAAAAGAAGCACATGTATGTACCCATGCAGTTACATTGTGGGTCTCTTATGAAATACAAAAGCATGTATTCACCATCTCCCGATGGAATATATTAGAGTAAATGGAAGTACGAAATCAAAAAGCCAAAGAATCTTTGAAGTCTCTAGTTCAACAAGCCTTGCTAATCTAGAAACCTCTCTTCAGCTTTCCTGCCAAGAGGTCTCCTGAGCCTATGGTTGAAGACCTGCAGTGCCCAGGAACTGCCTCAAAAAACAGTGCCACTTTTTGAATATTTATTTTATATTTCCTTATTTTAGAAATTCAGATAAGCAAAAGATAGATACACAGTGTCTCTGCTATTCTTTTTATTAGAAAGTAGCCTCTATGGTATGCCAGTGATTTACACAGAGCCTGCTTCTCTGAGAATATTTGTTTGACTGAGTTTGATTTATTGGATTGGAATTAATTACTCGGGCACTTTTTTTTTGGTACCGGGGATAAAACTCGGGTCCTTGTGCTTTCGAGGCAAGCGGCAGAACCACTGAGCTAAATCCCCGGCCCTTGGGCACTTTTAAAAAATTACAAAGGAGTTGCTTACTGCTTGCAAGGACAAAGGTAAGTGATTGAAATGGCACCCATTGGACCTCCTCACTTTTCTCCTTTTCCTGGTCCCAGATGGAAGACTCTCCCTGCCTGGCTTTTTTTCTCTTTTGTACTCACAGATGTGTAGGGCCTGTGTAGTGCTCATGACCTCCTGTGGATGTGTGGAGCATCTCTTCTGTTACTCAGGGACAGTGTGGGGCATCATTCCACTACAATGTGATTGGGCCTCAGACCTTTTAGACACTTGGCTTTTCTCATCCCCCTGAATCAAAGTAGGACTAAGTCTCTGCTGGCTTCTTTCCACCCAGAGATGGTGATGTGAAAGTAAAAGCAGAATAAATATTTTATGTTGTCTTTTTGTTCCTAAGATGTATTCACTTTCAAATGCTCCCTGCTCATCCAGAGTAGCTGTCACCTCTCTCTTCCCCCTTTCCTCTCCTTCAAATAAATCTTACAAAAAAAAGATGTAAGAAAACAAGTGGGAATCTTGTATTTATTGGTTCATCTACTTGATCTGACTTGGGTAGCAAGATTTATCAGTGTTGATGTATTGCATGACTAGTATTGTTACCCTTAATTTATACTGATCATGGCCGGGGATGTAGCTCAGTGGTTCTACTGCCTGCCTTGAAAGGGCAAGGACCTGAGTTCAATCCCCAGTACCAAAAAAAAAAGGGTTAATAATATACGAATCATGTTTAACCCAGTCTGATAATACTTAGTATTAACATTTAACTTAATGTTTAATATCTGTGTAATTTTTGGAATTCAACCTATACCTTATTTTTGTACTTAGCTTCTTTTCAGCTTCTATTATCATAGCCTTGTAAATAAACCATCCTGCATATGAAATACTTAATCAGAAAGAATTAACTAGAAATGAAAGTGCCACACAGGTATATTTGTTTTGCTCTGTATGCCAGAATGCTTGCAAGAATGTGTAATTTTATACCCACTTACACTGATCAGTATCATTTGTTTCTTCTAACCCCTGCCATAGCTAGGTTTTATCAGTTTTAAGTTTCTTGCCATATGTGGTGGTACACACCTGTAATCTCAGCACTCAGGAGGCAGAGGCAGGAGGATCACCTTCACAGATTAAATGCCAACCTGGGCTGCATAGTGAGTTCAAGGCCAGCCTGAACTACATAGAGAGACCCTTTTAAAAGAAAAAGTATCTGCCAGTTTAGAAGATAACAATAAAAGTGCATCACTGTATTTTTATTCCTACTTTAAAGTTATAAATTAGATTGAATAATTTTAGTGACATTTGTATTTTGTAAAGTTTTTCTGGGGTTTGTGCTCATTTTTCTGTTATAAATAAAAGGCCAAACTAGAATCATGCTTCCTCTCCCCTTGGGTAGTGAACTCAGGGCCTTTGCATGGAAGTGTATCTCCAGTCCCTTTTTTATTGTGAGACAGGGTCTTGCCAAGTTGCTAAATTGACCAGTTGACCCAGCAGGGTTCAAACTTGGGTTCTTCTTGCCTCTGCCTCACAGAGTGCTGGGATTACAGGCGTGGTCTCTGGCTCATGACTGTCTAATGGCATCCCAGCTTTGATCATGACTGAGGTCTGCCCTGTGAATCTGACAGGTGGAAGATGGAGGCCCTGGCCGACAGGGAGCACGCCCTGATGGACCCTGACAGCGGAGATGAGGCCCTGCTCGGCAGTGGGGCTCTGCCTACCCCGGATGGGGATGCCCAGGGGGAGCCCCAACCAGCCGCCCAGCCGGAAACGTCTCTGCCGTTGAGCCAGAGCAGTGGGAGCGAGCTGCTGGCCAGCCAGCCCCAGCCCTTCTCGAAGCTGGACATGGAGGACGAGGGCGACGTGATCATAGAAGAGTACGACAGCGACGGGACGTAAGGGCCCGCCTGCCGGGCCCCGGGATTCACTGGCATTTTCTCGGATGAATTACAAGCAGTTGTTCTTCCTCTTCTATTTCATCACGAGCACCTGGCTCTTCTGCCATCCTGGAGTACATGGGCGATCAGGCGTCCAAGCACTCTGAGTCCTTTCTCTAGTATTTATTTAGTCTTGTGACTGGGTTAGGGAGAGGTGTTAAGTGTTTATGCCAAACATCAGAAAATGTGAAGGAAGACCCTGGAGAACAAAAGCAGTATAGAGTGTTGTAAATAGACCACAGTGTAGGATGTAAATATGAATATAAATAAACGTTGTGCCTTATTTACAATTTGTCTCCCATCTTCTCAGATACCAGCTTTTATATGATGTACAGTGCAGTATTTTAGATACCTTTTAGAATGTAATCATAATTTATATCAAGATTAAAATGTTGGATTTCATCTTGTTTCTGCCGTCTTTAAATGCTGTCTACAACGTACTAATCTCCCCTGTCCCTCAGACATAGTACAGGCCTTTCCTTCCCCTGCATGGAGCCTTTGTGGTGGTGCACGCCCATGAACCCAGCGTTTGGGAAGCTGAGACACAAAGATCACAGCTAGTGCCAGTCCAGTCTGAGACGTAGTGAGTTCACGGCTAGTCTGAACAACACAGCAAGACCCTGCTGAAAAGGCAGGGAATAATCCGGCCAGGACGGGGTCGCAGAGGTCCCACCTGAGACTGGCGCCCGCGGCGGGGCCCAGCGGTGGGGCGGGTCGAGCAGGGGGTGCGGCTAGCTCGCCCCGCCCCGCCCCGCCCCGCCCCGCCCCACCCGGGAGCCCAGTTGGGTTTCGGCCAGGGCCAGCGAGCACTCGGGAACTGCCGCAGGTGAGGCAGGTGAGTGGGTCGGTGGGGAGGGCGCCCGCGTCCCCGCCCCATCCCGGGGGCGCCGCCGCAGCGGGGAGGCCAGCGGGCGCCCAAGTGCAGTTTGCCGTCCTCCGTCCTTTTGGGCGCAGGTGGGTGGCCGCCTAGGCCGCTGGCCGGCCCCGCGGAGTTCCGGCCACCGGGGAGGGAGGGCGGAGTGGGGCTCCTGGGGCTCCCCCCGGCCGACGGGGACACCGGCGTTCCCAGACTGGCCGAGCGCCTTCCGCACCGGGGCCGGCAGAAGTTGAGGCCGGCGGAAGCGGGCACGGCTCGCTGCACCGCTCCTGGCCCGGCCCGGCCCGGCCCGGACGGACCCAGGACTCGACAGCTGCCGCCAGGACCTTCTCTTCCAAAGTCGCACCTGTTTGTCTTCCACAGTTCTTCAGTTTACAGTTTTTACCTTTTATTCAAACATTGAAAAGCGGTCTGATTGGGTGAAGATGCTTTAGATCCGTTCCTGTAAATCTGACTTTTTCTGTAAATTAATTAAGCAACGGTGTGTCCTGGGAATGCATATACAGTGTGTGTATCTTAGGAATTGAGAGATGTCCTGTGAAATTTGCTGAAGTTAACGTGTGCTTTTGGTTCTAAATTTCTTTCTCTTTTTTCTTTTTCTTTCTTTCTTTCTTTCTTTTTTTTTTGTGGAGATAGGGTCTGGCTATGCCGTTCAGGCTGGCCTCAAACTCCCTATGTAGCCCAGGCTGGCTTCGAACTCAACAGGGATCCTCCTGCCTTGGCCTCTGGTTGCTGGGATTACAGGCGTTCGCCACTAAACCCGGCTTGGTTCTAAATTTCTTAGGAAGATATATCAAAAGCTATATTAAGGGCCGGGGATTTAGCTCAGTGGTTGTGCTCCTGCCTTGCAAGCGAAAGGAGCTGAGTTCGACCCCCGGTTTCTAAATAAATAATAAATAAACAAACAAACTGGATTGTCTTTGGGTTGGGGATTTAGCTCAGTGGTTGTGCTCCTGCCTTGCAAGCGAAAGGAGCTGAGTTCGACCCCCGGTTTCTAAATAAATAATAAATAAACAAACAAACTGGATTGTCTTTGGGTTGGGGATTTAGCTCAGTGGTTTCGCTGCCTGCTGTGCAAGCGCAAGGACCCAAGTTCGATCCCAGTACCAAAAAAAAAAAAAAAGGTATCATCAAAAGCTATATTAGTGCTTTGCATTTCTTGAATCTGAACTTTTTGGTTTTTTACGCTGTCCTGAGGATTGAACCCAGGATCCTCCCACTGAGCTATAACTCAGCTCTTTAGTTACTTGGAGACAGGTTTTCACTAAATTGCCAAGGCTGAGTTTGAACTTGTGATCTTCTTTCCTCAGCCAGATTTAATCTTTTTGAGGACAACAAAGAGAAAAGACAAAGGGACCAAAAAAAAAAAAAAGAAGAAGAAAAACCCTTGCTATAGAGGTCTGCCTTTGATGGACACCACGCTAGGACTGTCACAGTTAATCCCCTAGAAGGGAAGTGCCCTTGTAAAGACCCTGCCCTGGAATTCCTTCTTGAGTTCTTCTCACCACCCCATTTCCTTGGTGATAGGTTCCAGTCTAGCAATAATACATACTACCCTCTGTGAGTAGGCTGTGTCCTTGACATCACCTGGGTTCCTTTTCTTATTTTATTGTTTTTTGTTTTTCAGACAGTGTCAGTGTCTCATTATGTAGTTCAGACTGCCCGCAAACTCATGGAGATCCTTCTGGCTCAGCCTCCCAAGTGCTGGGATTACAGACCTGCACCACCACACCCTGCATTTACAAGCAATTTGAGGGAGAAATTCATTGTACCTAAAACCTGGTAGTTATATTAGCAGATGATTTTTTAAAAATTTTTTGGTGTATGTTTTCGGATCCACAATTTCATGAAAGAAATAAGCAGTCTTGGTAAAGGTCAAAGTCCTTTTTTGGTGCTTTTTCAGCAGATGAATACCTCCTGAGATAAGTTGGTTTCTTGTGGTTGCAGCCAATCCCCTATAGCTTATCCCTGGAATGAATGCCATTCCCGGCCATTGCAGCTGCTGTTTTGTGGCTCTGGGGAATGTTAGCCTTTGGCAGTTTTTCCTCTGAGAATTCAATTTTTAAAATCAAGAATCCATGTTACTGTTTGAGAGAGAAGAAGCCAATCCTCAAACCTGACACTCATGAAGGAAGGGGCTCGTGGTGCTGAGTTTTTTTGGTTTGGGTTTTGTTTTTGGTGTTTTCTTTCTAGGCAGGGTCTCCCTTTGTAGTTCAGGATGGCCCTGAACTATGTAGCCCAGGCTGGCCTTGAACTCTCAGTGATCCTCCTGCCTCAGCCTCTTGAGTGCTGGGATCACAGGCCTGCGCCATCATGGTGCTGTTTTAACAGACTGCTTTTTTTTTTTTTTTTTAACTGGGGATCAAACTCAGGACCTTGCGTTTGCAAGGCAGGTGCTGGAACCACTGAGCTAAAACCCCAGTCCTTGCCATTTTCTCACTAGTGGGAAGTTTTGCATTGTAGTCAATTTCATTTTTTATTTTTAAAGACTTTTTTTTTTTTTTTTTT